GACATGATCTATTTATTTGTAATTTTTGGAGAAGTACTTAATAAATACTATGGTTATCAATTACCATTAGGTCAGGAGAGAGATTGCTTTTATCATGGCTTATAGAATGAGTATTTTCATTTTCACATCCTACTGAATCATAAACCATGGTTAATAAAACACAATGGCTGGGTCCGTTTATTGCATTAAGCCAAGTAATGAATAACATTATGTCTTAGTGCAACATGTGAATCCCACCAGTGTCTAGCATGAACTATTAACATATATAGAAGAGAAGAGTCACCTCTTATTTGGATTACTGTAATATGCTCTACATGAATCTGCCCTTGAAGAGCCTTCAGAAGCTGCAACTGGTCCAAGACACAGTAGTGTGAGCAGATTTGGGTGTCTCTTGCGATACTCATATAACACAGTTGCTTCGTGAGCTGTACTGTCTCCAATAAGCTTCCGGCTCCAGTTCAAGGTTCTGGTTACTACCTATAAAGCTCTACATGGTATAGGATCATGCTATTTGTGAGACCACCTATCCCCCATTATATTTCTACCCAGCTTACCAGGTCTAGCAGGGAGGCCATGCTCTGGGCCCGTTCCATTAAACAGTACTATCTTATTGGACCCTGGAGTCATGCCTTTCTGTGGCTGTGTCTACCCTGTGGAATACCATCCACCCCAAGATTCCATAAGGCACTGTAGACCTGGCTGTTCCACCAGGCATTTGGGCCAGGAACCTAGGTGAGCTCTGTTGGTGATGTGGCTTTTTGTTTGGGGATTATTGTTTTAACTGGCTGTCATGGAAATGTATTGTTATGATGGATTTAATTTTTGTACGCAGCCCAGAGTTACTGCTGTGAGATGGGTGACTTTATAAATCATTTAAATAAACACATATTTTCTGTTTCATATTTAGGATTCAGCATTCCTAAACCAATGTGGCATCAAAGTCAAACAAGTTTCAATTTCATTAGTACTAAGCAAAATACAAATATAAATATAAAAATCACATTGGATTAGTTTTTATCTGGAAACCAATAGCTGCAAATGCCTCTGCTGTTTATTGTCAAAAGGAAAAAATCACAGTGGTTTCACTCTTGAAACTACTGAAAGGAAAGCCACACCTTTTTAAATAAATAAACAAACATTGTGTGTGTGTATATAAATCAAATAAAATTTTGTACAAAAGAGAAAGAAAAAACACTTGGCTTCATGGAATATTAACTCATATTTCTAATGTATGCTTAGAGCACCCAGTTCTCCCTGGCGACTGCTTCCAGAGGTCGGTAAATGAATGGTTCTGCTCTTAAAGTAGTCCAACTCTCTCAATCCCTATATTAATCTTAAGTTATACAGGTAGGCCTCGACTTTTGACCACAATTGGGACCAGAACTTCCATCACTAAACGATGCAGTTGTTAAGTGAGTTGCACCCAATTTTATGACCTTTTGCCATGGTTGTTAAGTGAATCACACAGTTGTTAAGCGAATCCAGCTTTCCCCACTGACTTTGCTTGTTGGAGGCCCCTTGGGAAGGTCGCAAATGGTGATCACATGACCCTGAGATGATGTAACCATTGTAAATACATACCGGTTGCTAAGCGCCTGAATTTTGATCATGTGACCACAGGGACACTGCAATGGTCATAAGCATGAGGACCGGTCATGAGTCACTTTTTTTAGCACCATCATAACTTTGAACAGTTGTTAAATAGTTGTAAGTCAAGGACTACCTGTAGAAAAGGCCACGTAGCTGGGCTTATATGTCACATTAAGCCAAAACCAAATGAATGATTTTATGACTATGTTTACCATTTTATTCAACTCCCAGTTCAGTTACAGTATGATGAATTCAGCTCTAGATTGGGTTCACACAACATGAAATCTTTTATTTTAACCATGGTTTGTTGAACAAGCATGGCTCAAAGCATAAACTAAGATTTGTAAACAGTAATGATTTGCTGGATTTAAACATCACTTCTCTAAAGATGCAAAGGCCCATTATATAACTTCTTATCTGGTAAAGTACCGAGACAATTCTGATTTATTTACTACTCCTGTCAGAACATGATGATTCGGTGCCCTTGAATGTGGCAAAATCTTGTTATACTGTCTGTAAAACCCATCATGTTTTGATTTCCTTGATGTAGTTAAAATGTTATGTTTGTATTTTATTTTATTTGAAATATAAGGTATTCATTTACTTTGTTAATTTGCAGAATTCTGATCAGTGACCACAATAAAGAACTATGTTACACTTAAATATCACACTAACCCAAAACCAAACAAACCAAATTATGGTTTAATGTGTTGTCTGAATTCTCCTGGTTTGGAAGCAAGGGTTTGATATAGCTACTAATGGTGGAACATACAAAGCTGCTATAAACCTGGGTTGTTTAGCTTAATGAGCCTGGAAATGTTGGGAAATGTAATTCAACATATCTGAGGAAGATCATGGCAGGGAAGGCTTGATTATGTCAACTGGCAGCATCTCTAGAAGGAATCTGAATTGACCTTGGCTCCTTCCCCAAGCAAAGAATATACAGTATTCCCAAGCGACGGATGGCCATTCTGGAAAGTGTTTGTTTTGCCTGTTACTTCTCTACTTGTCCACCTGCCATTTTATCATACTGCCATTTTATCATAATGTCTCCCTCTGTGTTTTTGCATAAAAGGAAAGTCAGGTCCTCGCCTGATTTTCTGAGTAGGGAGCAGGAGTAATTTTGAAAACATCCTCCTAGAGAGATGGAAGGGTAAAATAAGGAGAATGTGTTGAAAATAAGGAGACCACTGCAAGGTATGAAGTCAGGTTTGGTTTTTTTTAAGTACTTCTGAGCCTGGAGAGAGTCTGTGGGGATGGCTAAATGGCAAGGGGGCTTTCTGGGGCTGCTCCCTCTTTGCAATGCTCCACTTGTGGAGCATACTACCAGTCACAAAGCTTTTCTTTTTCCCCGTGCTTCTGGGCAATGGGAAACAGGCTTGCTTTCTTCTCTAACTATCCTTTCAGTCCACTGCCCAACAGAAATTCTAAAAGTAAATTCCAACATTTCCAGGCACATCCAGAAAACACCTCTGCCTGAAACCCTGGAGCTGTTCCAAGCCAGCACAACCAGTACAGGACTAAGTGAAGTATACAGCTGTTTCCCAAATTCTACCCACATTTCATCTCTACTTACTAGCAGAGTTCTCCTCCTCCTGTTGTTATTTTGCTTTTGTGCTAGATGAGTAACAGAACCAACTGAATATGCTGCTGTTACCTTCCTGGGATTTTTTGCAAGATGACTTGAGTAGATATTATTGAATGGGGCAGCCGCTGACTTCCCTTTAGGAAAGAAACCTCCATCAGAGTCTGTTGACTAGAAAATGTTAGGATCCATTGAATTTTTCAACTTTCTGAGTGTTAGTCTTACTTCTGGCAGGTGATAATAAGAAAGGGTTGGGGCTGAGAATGAAAGACTACAATCCCTGCTTTGACATTTTGCTTCTGTCTTAAACCCACTGTAGGTCTATAGGCAGTTTATTGTGTTTCATCCTGTTCACTCATCTGCAATATAGGGAATACGAACATTTATAGACTTATGGCAAGCCTGTACAAGTACTATATGATGTACCTGAAACCCTTTATGCACTTACAAGCACTATAGAAATGTTATGTATTCTGTTCTGTAAAAGCCCTTATTTTCTTTCTGCATAGAATGAGGTTGCTTCAAGGAAAAAAAGTTTAGGTTTTTTTATCAGATGAGTAAAATAGTAAAATCTATACTTAACATTAATGAACTAACAAAAAAGAGTGTGTGTGTTTTGGGAAGCATTTTTACTGTTTATGCTGTAATTTTACGACATGCAGTCCTCAGGTTACGACAGCAGTTGTGTAATGGAATGTGTCTACAAGAAGGAGAGTGATGTGGAAGATCAAGGCTATCAGGAAGGAGGGAGTGCATTCCAGGAGGGGAAAGGAGACAAGAGGCAGCACAGTCTGCAGGGGGAGCATGAGAAGACTAAGAGATTCAGGATAGCCACTCCCTAGAATCTCACAGGGTATATCCACTCGTTGCTGTAGTATAGATTGGCAAGATTCTGTCTATAAGGTGTAATCAAATAAAGGATCGGTACTAGACTGGACTGTTTCATCATTGTTCTTGGGCTGGGCCTGACATCAATCTTGCCAGACACCAGTCGTAAGTCCCCCTTGTTCAACCCTTTTGCAAGTTTAAACAGTCACTGAACAAGTGGTTACAACCCGAGGACCACCTGTAATGTGTTAGGTGTTGTACTGGCTAATAATTAGAAAATTATTACCGCTTTAGGAGTCCAATTTAGTTTTACAGGTATGGTTACTAATTCACAAGAAGGGCATAAATTTTCTTTGTGTCTGAATATATAGGTTGCTGTAGACTGCCAAAATATTCAGTAAATTGGCAGGCCACAATACAAGTCCCCTTCTGTGGGTCAGAAATGGCTATTGTAACAAGGACCCATAAAACACCAGAAGTAATCAGTGTTGTAATCTATTGTGTCCTATCAAGAGAACAAAGCAAAGAGGATAACATAATCCCCCTTTAATAAATTAAATGTTTTTCTGCAGCCAATGAATTAGATTTATTACATTTTTTTTAAGGCCAATTGATAGCTAAAAGAAATAGCTAAAAACAACACATCCCCTCTTCAGTGAAATAATATGAATCTGCTGTCTAAAGAAAGAAACCTCTAGAACTCTACTGAGTATGTTCAAGGGCTAAAATAGCTCTTGGGAACCCAGCCAGGGGGTGGAAGATCTGTTTCGCTCCCCCACTCTACCTCCCATCTGGATGATAATTCTTTTTTAAGCTTTAAATAGGTTTTCCATTTAAGTAATCTCTCTCCACTGGAACGAAAGAAATAATTTTTAAAACATTTATAACCATTCTCTTGTTTTTATCGCAATTTTTTCCCTCGTGTCCATATGTTTTAACTAGTTGTTTTCTGTTTCCAGAGCAAAATCAGCATGCTAGCCTGTTTTCTTCATTTCAGACAACCTTGGCACATATCATAGCAAATAGCAGTAAGAAGAATGGAACACGGTTTGTTACACTATCAGCGACAAGTGCCAAAACTAATGATGTCCGAGATGTAATTTTCCAAGCCCAAAATGAAAAGAGACTCTGCAAGAGGAAGACTATCCTTTTTATAGATGAGATACACCGTTTCAATAAGTCCCAACAGGTATTAATTTTTCTATATGCAGTCAGAAAACTGGTGTATTACAGTGAAGTCGTTAAGGGAATGTGCTTAGCAGTGGTTTGACTATGGCAATTGAGATACACCATTCCTTAAGGGGCTCTGGAAATGTATTCAGAGAATTGTCCAATTTTACCCTATTTGCCTTCTGAAGCAGAACAAGGTGAGAGAGAGTGCCTGGCCCAAGGTCACTTAATAAGCAGAACTTCATGCCAAGGTCTCCCCAGCTCAAGTCCCTACATTTGATCTGTTATATCATGCAGGCATAATACATGTTTACGTGCATTTTGTCTTGAGACTAGAAACCCATTTTTAACTACCACTAAAAATCAATTTTGATACTCCTTCACATACCATATTGAGATTTGATATTACTGTCTATTCAGAAAGCAAGTTTGGGATTGAGAATTTGGCAATCATTTCCATATTTAACATACCCTCCTACTCTACTAGCAAAGAGCAGAAACAACTTTTCCTAGCCAAGCAAGGTTATGGAAGGACAGTCAGAACATTAGAGCCATCTTTACTCAGTTTTTTCATGATTTGGCTTATATTGTAACTTTTTAGAATTTTAGTTTTACAACTAAAAAAGAATGATAGAGCTTTTTGGAGATGAATTGATTGATTATGTGCCATCAAGTCGTTGTTGACTCTTAGTGACCACATAGATAGATTGAAGATGACTACATACTGAAAATTATATTAAACATATGTGGAGTGGATTGCCATGAAATTAGACTATGGTGAATTTTCCAAACATTCATTGTGTTATATAATATTAAAATGTACTTGGTGCTTTACAGTCTTTGAATAATCCTTTTGGAAGTCAGGGAGGCTGACTGAAGACTTACCATTATACCCTTAATTTCTTCAAAACAATGAAACCTAAATTACAAAAACACATTGCTTTCAATAGCTTGCACAACAAAGATTCTTGTGGCACCATAGAAGTGAACCCATTTATAATGAATGATCCACTTTATTAAATGCATATGCACAAAAGCTAAAGTTATAAGACTTTTTGTTGTTTTTGCCACAAAAGACTTAACATGCTTTCCACACAAGAAACTCTTAATTTTTAGCTTGGTATGGAAATGGAAATAGAAATGGTTGTCTGCAGTGTAAACTATTAACGAGCTGTTACCATGCTAAGCAGATGAGCCGTCAATATACTCACATGGGATGTCTGCAGTTGTCATGGATTGAGACCAATTGTTTCTGTTTTCCTCCCATGTCCAGGACACTTTTCTTCCTCACGTTGAGTGTGGAACCATAACCCTGATTGGGGCAACCACAGAAAATCCTTCCTTCCAGGTCAATTCAGCTCTGCTGAGTCGGTGCCGCGTTATTGTTCTTGAGAAGCTCTCAGTTGAAGCAATGGAAGCTATTCTGATGCGAGCTATCAAGTCCTTAGGGATCCAGATTCTGAGCCAAGATGAGATACCCACCAGCTCTATGAATGGCAACAACAGCAAAGGCTCTGAGTAAGTATGCTTCGTAGACTGCGATGTGTTAACATACACCACCCAAGGAATCCAGTGACAGACTGCCAAAGCAAAAGGGAGGAAGAACTTATGGAGTGGGAAGGAGGAAAGAATGCAAAAACTGAACTCTTTTAATAGCAAAGGAAAGGGGTATATGTTGAACATAAGTAGTACAAAAAAGCAGTGTAAAGCCAAAGTAAAAATTTGATCCTAATTACTGTAACATCTGTTTTGGTCATTGGATGTTTACATTTGACAGCAGCTGTGTATTGTCTTTAGGTTTCTAATCTAATTTCTGTTATTCCAGGAGTTCGGAAGTCTAAATGTTAAAATAAATGCTACTTCAGATTGGAAATACAGACTTAGGAAACAGAGCTAAATTTAATAAATTATACTACAAATTTCTCAGTCTGAAAACAGTATTTGTTTTGCCTAGCGAAGGGGGTCAAGAGCACGAGGAACCCCACACAAGTGTCGAATGTCTACTCCTAGCTTTAAATGCAGATTTCATATTTCATAGAGCATAATTTATATTTGAGTGTCATTACTTCAGCTAATTCCGATTGATTTTGTGGAGCTTAAGCACTAGTAATTTTCTCTTGGTCAGTACCATTGTCTTCACAGTAGTCAATATATTAGATAATGTTAATATTGTCTTAATTAAGTCACATAATGAAGCCTTTTGAAAAAGCATCGCCCTTTATTCAGTTTTTCTCTAATTACAAACCATATGCTTCTAACTAGATCACATGATTTAGGGAAACAGAGAAATCTTGCCTCCTTATTTAAGATATTGTGTTTGTAAGACTTCCATGTTGCAGCATGATATAAACTGTGGGTTATGGGGTGGAGAAGAAGTAACATTGCTTGTCAGGCTTAATATAATATCACAGCTGTCTGAACAGCGACTCTTTAGCTGAGTTTGGGAGGCTTTTGTTTCTGAATGGAATGTAGATAATAGAAACTATTTTTCCTCCTCCTGTTCAGGGTTTTGTGTTTCACTACCCATTTTGTTCATGTATGTATTTCTGGGCATATGCTAAATAAATATTGTTTAAATTGGTCATGCCCAGCCTTCAGGCTTTGGGGATCAAGTGACCCTTTTTGCTAGTTTACAGAGGTCTCCCAGTTAGAATTCAATGTAGAAGGCATACATTTTCCCCATCTCCTTTCTCAAAAGAGAGGCTTTTTAGTGAGCTGGTCACTGCTGTGAGGTACTTCAGGCTGATGTACGCCAGCATGCTTTATGCCCCTGTATATTTGTGTCATCCTGGCTCCACCAGTTGGATAAACATGAATAAACTGAACCGCAGAAAGGTTAAGAGGCTTACTCAAGTTAAATAATCAGTAAAAGACAGTGATTAAAAAAAGGACAAGACTTGAAAAGTACTGTCTGTATGATAGAACAGTTATATCAGAGCCACCTTGCTGTGACTTCATCGTACAATTCTGTAGCATTTAAAAGTCTATCAGGTAAGGCCAATTACGTCGGAGTATCCTCTTAGTTTATTCATTAGCTGGTAAGGTTTACATGGAAGGAGTTTTTGAACTGATACTTGGCCTTCGAGCATCACAACAGCATCTTGGAATGAAGCTATGGAAAGTTGGCTGCCATATTATTGCTATTATATCTAAAGAGTTCTCAATTGTAGTCACTTATGTTACTGTAAGGTGCATAATGTTGGCTGCATTTATAATTTAATGCTAAAGTGTTTTTTTCAAGTTTCCCAGTGTATTCTCTTGGCTCTTGTTCATAAATACGTGAAATGGTCTTCAAAGAGTTTTCATATTTTTCTAAAAGTTAATTTTATTGAGATTTAAACTTTGTTGTGGATGCATTGGGATCTGGCAAGCCCCCGCTCTCCTAGCCTTCTAGAAGGCCTTGAAAGCTGGCTCTTCCCTCAAGCGTTGAGATAAAGTAAGACTGGATCCCAGCTATTACAATTGTGGAGTGTTGGTGGGGGCACTGGGATTCATTTTTTTCTTTTTATGTATGTTGCTTTTACTGTTCAGATAGGTTTTATTATGATTTTGTGAGCCACCCAGAGTTGTGCATAAGGTGGGCAGCCATATAAGTCAGATAGATAGATAGATAGATAGATAGATAGATAGATAGATAGATAGATAGATAGATAGATAGATAGATCACATTTAATAGCAGTCAAAATAGCTGAGTAATATTCAGTGTATTCATTTCCTATCCTTTTCTTAGAAAACTAAACAGAAACAGTTCTGCTATACATAGTCCCAAATGTTGTGATAGAAATTAATTATGTGAATAAAACTAATCTGCATAGATTCAACTCTTTTTTAGTGTGCCTCATTCTCAAGAGTCATGGTTTAAAAACACTGGGGTGTTTCAGGTGAGTATAAGATAAAGAAATAATTGTAGGGAACTGGGGCAACACTTTCATGAAGTTAGGGAGAAGAAGAACATTTTAAGACTTCTTGCCAGGACATGTTCTCAGTATTTTAATGTTATTTATTAATGTTACAATGTATTGGGATATTTTACTAGAGTTTTTTGAGCACTGTGATTTTATTGTTGTCTGGATTTATATTATAAACAGCTGCAGGCTGGTTTGACTGGAAGCAAGTTGGTTAGAAATGCAAGAAATAGATAAGACATGGCCATAAGTTAGATTTCTAAGCCTTCACAGCAGACTAATACCTCTCTCTCCTCTCTGCAGTTACAAAGGCTAGGAAATTGTGTGCTATAAGCTCACCTTGTGGTAAGCATCCAACTCTCATACTGTTGTGCCCATAGAACCAGCACTGTATTATCTGTAATATACACGTCATAATCAACCTTCACTGTGCAGTGCGCATCTCAGAATATAAGGTGGGATAGAAAAGAATTAGAGACAGGGAGGATTCACACATTCAAGGAGTCTTATAATGAAATGAGTCAGACATGACAGAGGAGCCAGAAATAATGCAATATTTTTGTATTTAGCCAGGTTGTTAAACAAAGAATGGGTGAAGTTCTTTTTTCCTGGACAGTTGACAGCGAGATGGGTTTTTTTGTCTGTATTTTAATGAGGCCAATCTGCAGACCAGTTATATGTAGCGGACATGACCAAGAGTAGAAATTATTAGAGGTAAAGTCAATTATATAGAGGAGGGACTGAGTTCTAGGGAACTGCAGCCCTAATTCCAGAGTGGGCCCAAATACTGGGTTTTTTTTGTTAAGGTCCAGTGTGGATAAAAACTCAGATTTGAGCATAAAGCTCAGTGGTTGATTTTGGGTAAGTAATTCTCTGATAGGGCAGAACTACACCTGTCTGTGGTAGGCATCTATTTTCAGCACAGAACTCCTCCAGACAATCAGAAATGCTTCATGATTAACCTCTTGCAGCTCCCACCTCCTGGCTAGTTTCTGAATTCAAACAGGAGAAATGGCGTTAACAGGAAAACGGTAGAAGTGGTAGGGGCAGAAAGAGCGTGACATTCAACTATTTTGCAGTAGAAATCATCACTCTTCATCTGTTTACTATCAGGGTATTATGAAGCCCTGGGCCAGTTATTATCTGACATATTTCTCTCCTTGGGCTAATTTTGTCTCACAGAATTGTTGTGAAGTTAAAGTGAATCCCTTGTATTTATTTGAACTTCCTAGAGAATATGATGCAAATACCCGATTGGGAATAGAGATGTACTTTGTCCCCGTTTTATTCTGAATCTCATTGTGGCTACACACTAGCATAAAATGATACTACACATTAGACTAAAGGTAATTATTTGTATTGCTCACCAGTGTGTGAAGACTGACATAAACACTGATTCTTTCAGTGGCAATCCATTGACACGTCTCTGCTTTATTCATTGAAAATTTTATCCATTTAGGCAAATGCTAGCAATGTCCCAGATGATGCATCCATTAACTGGTGCATTAGCTGTGTTTTTCCTGTCCTTTTAGTTGACATTCTACTGGGAGGTCAGCCAGTGCTAGGTCCTGGGGTGTCCTCTCTGCCTGTGTGTGTATATTTTTGTCTTTAAGTATCACTGGTTACAAGGTACAAACATCAAGACTTGGTGTTCAAGATGTCCTGTGTTTAATTTTGGAGGCTGGCAAAAATACGCAATAGTGCAAGTGTAAGTTGAGAGTGGGGAATATCTCATCAGAGGCTGGGAACTAGATTAAATTCCTGCCTTGCAATTGTTACTTCACATAGGTAGAAAGAGCTGAAAAAGAGTTTGAAATGATAAGAAAAGACAGTAAAGCTTCATATTTATGTTATGTTTGTTGAGAAAGTTCTCTAACTTTTAAAACTTTCAAAATTTTGCATCACATAGGATTGCCTCATACCTTATTTATTTTTAACCTGTGTTTTATAGCAGGGAATCAGCAACCCAGATATACATATATTTATGTTATAATATGCAGATGATGAGCAACTTGTCTTCTGGAGGAAGCTGGGAAATGGCGTGCATGATTTCTAGATTGAGGTCAACAAGTTAACATCTACAAGATAGTATGGAAGCAGTTAGAAGGTTCCTTAGATTGTTTTGCCTCTATATCTGTATTAATGATGCATTTGCATGTTCATTGTTTTTCCTTTATTATGTATATTGACCATTTTTCAAACTTTTCTGGAGAACATGTGCCAACCAGAGACATCAAAGTTCAGAGGCTAAGCTTGTTCTTTTCTGAGAATAAGTTCCCAGACATATTCCTTAATATCTCCGGTTTAAAAGCATCTCCATTACTGACTTCCAAAAAACAGAGTTTTTGGCATGGCTTTCTACAGTTGTCCATAATTCCTCCTCCTCCAAGCTCTCCCAGTTGTCTGTCTCTCCCTGATTTACCAAAGTTGCAGACACTCAGTGCAAAATCCAGAACATCAGATTCTTTTAACTCCTATGCACCTAGTACATAAAGTCTCTCTACAAGATGCATAACTTAGAATCTCATATTGTAACTTGTGTTGTTAAGTACACTGAATTATTTGGACAAGTACAAAAGTTTGAAAAATAATTTTGCCAATCAGTGCAGCTGTATGGTTTCATACACATTTTGAGTTCAGACCAGAAGATGGAGATCTCTTTTGCTTTTATTTGCTTATTTTTCTGCAAGAACTTTTAAGTTCAAACTTTTAACAGACTTGTTTCTGTTTTTAACTTTTTAAAAAATTGGCTTTAATTTCAGATGAGCACTGTGACCTGATCTGTACTTGCTCAGCTCTCTTTGCTTTTAAAAATAACCTTTTAGTCAGCTTCGGCTTATTTACAAACATAGTGGCATCTATGAGAACTAGCAAATGGCTAACAGCCTAATAATCTGCAGAAGTGCTATGAAGCAAGCAGGAAAATTCAGTCCAGCAAAGTCCTGTTGTGTTTAATACATGGGAGTTGCTATAATTCTTCCTAGATCACTTGAGAAGATACAGGACAGCTACTTCAGTAGGGTTGATTTGACCCTGTTCCTTGGCATGGTAGCTTCTCACCTTATCCTCGTAAACAGTCTTCCCCAACTTACATCTCTCTAGATGCATCAGGACTGCAGCCACTGTATTTCCTGGCCTGGCCTGCTCTTAGTTACTGGTGACTTAACATATTCCTCGCCAGACCCAGAAATCTCAGTGGTGATATAGAGAATTGTTTTTATCTGGCATATAGGAGAAAAGATATTTGAAGTTATACTAGGCAATTTGGCTATTCTACAGGATGAGTCAAACAGACCTGCATGGAGCTGAATCATCTTACAAGAAGCATAGAAGCGATAAAATACCGCCCCCCCCCCCCCACCCC